ACTATCAATCGATATAAGACAGAGAAGTATGGAGTAAACCCAGAAAAAAAATCCAAACAGACATCCGTAATTGCATTTGTAAACAAACACGTCAATCGTCGATTGCTCGCGAATAAGAGCTCAATCTCGAAAACTAATAATACCATGAGGTAGAGGAATGATTCCTCTATCATTTGGTATAGTTTGTTTTTAAGATTGAGCTTTAATTCAAGAGAAATCGACAAATGACCTCTTTGTTTACAAAAGCAATTACGCCCAAATCTCAAATCACAAAGATCAATGTCGACCCAATGTCGGATACATTTTGTATTAGTTTCAGCTCAATGTCTCGTCAATATCGGGTTGGGATCTGTTAGAGGTCAGGTTGATGTCGGGATGGCTTAGCTTTTTCGCCGGAATGTCGACCAGAGCTCCGTTTGTGCGTTACACTCAATTGAATGATATCAAGCGTTTCTCAAATGAGAATGATCCATGCTTTCGTCACAAAAATCAGATCCTGTAAAATCATTAAATTTTCACCATGCAGTGGCACCACCTAGTTACAAATTAAACTACTAAGGTCGATGGGCCTTGGAGAAGACAGTACACCGTTTGAAAAATTCATGTAATTTTCTGCGAGATATAGAGATTGCTAAAGTATGATTGTGTCAGTGATTTGTTTTCATCGGGAAAATTTTCCGCTATGAAGTTTTTTTTCCCGATGAAAACATTTTGCGTATAGGTATACGTGACGTAGTGTGCGTACGATAAACGTCAGCAATCTCTATAGCGCACATAAAATTAACGCTAGATTTAAATTAGCAATATTGTATGCAAACTTTTAAACGATTTCGTTGTTTATGATGCCGTAAGAGAAGGAGGAGACAACTGACTTCTTAATCTTTTATCTCTATCTCTATCTATATCTATCTCTTTCTCTATCTTACGCACTTCAAATCGGCCAATCACGAGCTGGTTCACGTTTGACAGAAAAGTGGTTCGTTTTCGCCCCCGTATTTTCTTCTCTTCTCTTAGTTTATGCCAACTGTAGCTCACGCTATCCAGCATTTTACGATCGCTTATGGCCGCCACAATCTGGCTGAGTTTCTGGTAGGGAACATAAGATTTGAAGTTTGGCTTGTGTCGTTTGACGTGTAAACGATCAAATTTGAACGTTTACCAGTCAAACGACACAACCCAAACGTCAAATCATATGTTCCCTACCAAAAACTCAGCCAGATTGTGGCGGCCATAAGCGCTCGTAAAATGCTGGATAGCTAAAATTCAGATTTTTTTTTCTGTTTATGAGAGCGTTGTGTCAAGCGAAGGATGAAATCGAATGTAAATAATTATATCAAAAAATAAAATTCTTTCGAATATCACGCTTCATTTCACAGAGGGCCATGAATTAAATCTAGCAGGAAATAAATAACAACGTGCTTAGATTGCATTCAATTGACTTTACGTCTTGAGCAATGTTTCTTGGCTTAGCTAGGACTACAATATGGTGGATAAAAATTGTTCAAGTTTTGGCCTCATAGATGGCGCAGCGATATAGTAGTAAACTTTAATTTTCTTCCACAAATACAGATTATAACCAAATTCGTTCAAATCTGGCACAGTTGCTGGGTACCTCAACACAGATCTAACAGATCTAAAGAGCATTGGGAAGTAGGCAAATGTGATCCGCAATACAAACTTGACCCACCGAAATGTACATAATAGAATTAAATAAGCTGAATTTGTTTAAATAATATATATTCCCAAGTAACAATTTTGGTTTTATGATGGTTCTGAAGACCATGATTTAGACTTGTAGAATGTTTTAAAACCACGATAAAACTCGCAATGCTACTTGGGTTGTTTGATTCAAATCCAACTATCTCAAATAAACCTCAATATACCTCTCCGATATAGAGAGGAATTATAGAATAAAATTATACTTTTGAATGAATTTTCAAAATAGGGGAAATGGTTGTAATGTTGGCCTATGGATCTAAGATTGGACCCATCGCTAAAAATCTGTTATTTATCAATTTTATCTAGATGAACGCGTCAATGGGACGGTACGAATGGATATTTTTGGTCGCTATTGAAAATTAAGTCGATTGCTGAATTTAAGTGTGGGCCTAAATTAGGGGCATTTAGGCCGACATTACATCCGTTTTCCCTATAATTCTAAAAACGAGAATTTCAGACAAATTTTATAAAATATCACATTTATCAGTTATTTGAAGATGTACAGCATTTATGTTTTGGAGAAAATTCTCATAAAATGGTACGTTCTACAACTTTGCCCAAGACAGCATACCTCTAGCTTGCGAAATAAAAAAAAGTTTCTATTGGTGCCAGTGCTGATAAAAATCATTCCTTCTACACTCAACTTGGCAGAAAATGAAGACAACCTTAACAGATAGACCAACTACCTGCATGAATTTGAATTTTGACATAAGCACATTTTCTTGATCAAGGCAACTTCCGAGGATCAAAGTCAATATTTGTTTTTGTTTATTCGTGGCTGGATGTTTATTATCGCCTGTGTTGTTGTCAATATCAATATTCATCTTCATCTTGGTGGGGATGATTTTGAGAATCAAATGCAAAATGATTATTTTCATATTATATAAATACATACAGCGCTGTAGAATGTGTTGTGTTGGTTTTTACACACAGATTGATGGAAAATATTGCCTCATACTGAATTGATGATAATATCGAGGTTTTAAGCTCTAGAGTCGACAATATTCAAAATAATCATTTTGCCCAAAATGAATTCGATTATTTGGCTTTTGAGGATCGCTTCTGATTTTGACAATTTTGGGTTGGATAATCAAGCAGTAGTGAATATCAACAAACGCGTATTCGTTGATACATAATGAACTCATTTGTTCATTTCGCTCGTACGTGACAGCGCAGATATTTAAAACGAACGCAATTCATCTACACTGGGTTGAAGCGCTACTTCTGGCGTGTATGGTAAATGATAAAAACAGACATTGATTGGTGCACCATCTTTGCGGCCAAAACTTAAACTATTTGTATCCACCAAATTGTAGTAACTAATAGCGTATTCGTTTATTATCGGGGTTGGCATCAGTGCGAAAACGATTTTTTTTTTAGTGCGAACCTCAACTTGAGTTAGGTTTTAAAAACAAACGATCAAACTGACGTTTGTCAGAAAACAAGCAGACCTAATGTTGATACCCGATCCAGGTTGGAACTTAATAATAAACGAATTGGCTATAAGCCATGGAACTTTGCTGAAGACGTTAAGTCTATTGGCTGTAGCCAGTGTTGGAAATATCGCAAAAAGTGAAGAACTATGACTCGTGAGCTTTTTATTGGTAACTCCTAAGCAGCCGTTAAAGTTAAAATTGTTTGGATGGTCTTTAAGTTCTTCTCAAAATTGCTATGGGATTTTTTTTTTAAATCCGACATCGAAGATAAACATTTTTCAAGCTACAAAATTTGATTTTTCAACTCCAAAATATGTTCAATTTTCAAAACGTGACAAAATTTCAAGTCTTACACACTTAGAAATTATTGCCGACTTCGGTAATTTTTACCGAAAACTGAATCGGTAAAATTTATGCAATTCAATTCAAGTGCTTTTAGCTACTTTGAAACTAAATCTCCACCAAAATGACAAGATTTGATCATTTAAACAAGGTTGAACATGTTTTGAAATTATTTTCAAATTCAATAGCCTTTAAAATAAAGGTCAAAATTTTAACGAACGTTCAGCTGTTCTGATTTCGGTCAAATTTACCAAACACGAGAACAAAATCTTGACGTGTAGAATCCTGAAGATTTCCGTAATGCTTAGAATCTCGAAGATGGTTTTTTATTCTGCAATCTCCCAAAATTGGATTTCATTTCTTTCAAGTTCAAAGCTTTGTATAAAACATAGTTCAAGCTTCACAATTCAATATTCGGCCGAATGACCAATGCAATGACCCAGTAAAGTTTGATCAAGTAAGTTGGAGGCGAACCAGCCTAAGGCTGAAAGCCTCCTAAATAAAGCTATATTAATTAATTAATTGATCAAGTAACCTTGATTCAAATATGGAGTTTTTACATTTTTTAAGATTGTATTTAATTTAATTAAAAGAGCAAGAATTGTTTTAATTACTGCATTACGGAGAGAGCAGTTACCGATCTATCCACTCTTCTGGTTATGCTTATGAATTGCAAATTTTAGCTTTTGACGACATTTTGGTGTTAAGCTGGGTTTAGACAGGGTAAGTCAATTGATCAAGTCAATTGAATTCAACTGACTTGAACGCGAATTGAACGTGTGAACTATGAGCTTCAACTGACTTGATCAACTCACTTGAATTGAAAAAAAGTTGAACCAGGCTCAACTTTTCAAGCCAATTGAATTCAACTGAGTTGATCATTTGACTTGCCTAGTCTAAACACAGCTTTATCAGGGGGCTTCAACGACAGAAACCTGATGAATCCATATTGTAAGAGTACTTTTGAAATTGGCTCATACATCCATAGTTCATCCTATGATTAACAGTTCCAGCCGCAATCATGGAGAGTCATCTTTGGAGATTGCACGAATATAAAATTTTAACTTCCTTCGCTCACGCAAAGCTCGCACCAAGAGTGTGTACAGCTTTTTTTTTATCAGCAACAGACGGCGGCGGTGGTGCGCAGGTAAGGCAAATAGAAATATGTGAGATGATAACAGAAAAACATCGTTCTCTCCAGCCGAGTGTGCTGCACGATTCACGACCAAACCATACCGCAGTTGTTTTTATCTCAAATTGTTGCTTCCATTTGCTCATTAAAGTAGGCACCTACCTACTCTTGACAAGAGACAAACGAAAAATTAAAAAAACAAAATACAGATAGGACCCGCATTGTGGAGCAACGATGATTACAATCATCGGATAGGGAGGTGACACACAAGTGTTATACTATGATGCGGATCGGTATATAGCCTTCCACGCATAACTGTTGGTCGACGATGATGGCTCCCGGGTCAGGTGACTCCAATTCAATCCACTTACCTTTAAGGTTTCTTGAGCATCTGCACCAATCTAAGGCGACAGAGAGGAGTGCGCTGCGATGGCGACGTGATTTACTACTGCAGTTGGTCGACCGATGTATTGTTGATAGATTTTTCCTTTGTTCCAAATTCACTGACGTAACCGTCAAACGATTTCTCTTATCACTGCTTCTGGACGGTTGTTGTACAATCAATCGACTTTTGGAATTGCAATCACCTTAATTTTCTTCTGTGATTCGATTTGTCACTTCTCTAGCTTCTCATTTAATCTACTACACCGATTAGGATTTTTCCTCCAAATTTGATCACGTTTTTCACTTACTTCGCTCTATATTCACAACAATGCTCCTCTCTTCTTGTTACACCTACAAGGCACTGTAAGCATCTTCACCGGCAAAAGAGATTAAGTTCTAAAACAGAAAATCCATTGTCATCACACTTACTACCAGAAAAAAGGAAACCTTAACTTTACATTCTCTGCTGATACAAACCCGTCAACACCGTTCTGAAACTTCCAGAGTTATTAAATAAGCACAACCGACCAGCTCGAGTGTCTAAGCGCAATTAAAACGTGAACCGATTCGCGAAACAATACACTACCAGCGCAGCAGTGAACTACTAACTAGGCGCCGTCTACTACCGAAGATCGACGACACGGCACACACCACCTTAATTGATAGCCGATGAAGGGCTCTTTCTCTCCTCATCAGCCTGCGAACCTGCTCTCCTCTCACGAGCGCATCATCATCACACGACCACACGAGCTGTCGCCGCTCGCTGCTGGAAAAACAACAAAAAAATTCACTGCACAAGGGAAAACAATCAGCTGGATGCGGTTTTGTTTTCGCTTATCAGTGCAGCCTTTCGACAATCGTTGCCAATACTACCAAAGCAGTTGATTGCAGCTTTATAAACTGTTCATGAAGAAGTAAAAAAATCTTATACAAATTTATTGAAAAAATTAAAGGTTGGGTCCGAAACACGACCACATTATTGACGTAGGACTACGAGTTTTCTATGTTGCAAAATTCAATAATAATTACAAAATTATTACACGCAAAATAAATTTCTCTTCCATTCAATGTAAGGCTGGATTTATTTATTAAATCCTCTGCATTTGTTTCATACAATAAATTAAATTTAAGCTCTTGCAATGTACAAGCAAGTTTTTCCAGAATGCTCGATTTTTGTATAAAACCTTCACGAGACAATGCATTTCGAGAAAACAAACTTTTTGTTAGAAAAATATGCATGCATAAAGAATTAAAAAATTACAGCACTTGTTCATGTCCCGAAACATTGCAAATTCTGCATACTTTTCATGCAAATCTGTATTAGAATCTTTCATTTCCCGGTTGGGTGTGGGAGCCTCCTTTAGATCAGTCGGTAAAGGCAAGCTATAAAGCAATAGGCGGCTGGGTTCGATTTCCGGTCCGGTCTAGGGATTTTTCAGATTGCACTGAGGTGACTTCCCTGGGCTACTGATCGTACAATTAATCATGTTACCATGCTTCTGCGTTAATTTTCCTTAAGTGACATCTGCTGTTCTTAATGGTGACATCTATCAGAAATTAACCATTCACTTAGTTCCGTTAATTGTTAACAGAGGGCAGTGCAGTCAAAACATATATGGTACCTCTATACATGCATTCAGATTAACATCCGAAGTCCCTTCATTCTAATATATTCTGCACGAAAAATGTATCCGAGGTCCCTCCTTTTTACATATTCAAAATACATGGCATGTTGAGAAATTGAGCTCGTGAGCAGTGATTGAGCATCAAAAACAAGTCGTATTTTTAAATAAAGAAATATTATGGTATTATCTTCCATAATTTTGAATGGACTTCGGCTGTTCAGATATTCTGATTTCTGATTTCTCCTTTATTATTATTTAATCAATAATAAACCATGTGCCTTGGCGACAAATACGATGATTATATAATATTTTTTTTCCGAATCGGTGAACAGCCATTTTAGTAAACCCACATACTGATTGATTACATTTTGTGACTATTTTGATATTTGATAGCGTCATATTACAACAATTTAATAATGTATGCAATTCGACTAAACTTCCAGTAAAATTTTTGTGTTAGAACTTAATGAAAAATTACGGAGTTGAAAAAAAAAAATAAAATTTGCAGACAAAGAATTTCGTAATCTCAGACATAAAACAATCTAATTCTAGGGAAATGTGATTGTTACTTAATTAAGACAATGTTCAGCCGGATGCAGATTTGCCTCTCAATACTGGAACTCAATTTTCTGTATTTTCAGACTTGTAGGGAAGATACAAATCACTTAAAAGTCAGTCCACTCTCCACAACTCGATGTCCACTAGCTCGATATCGAATTTTAGAACCATAGTAATCTTGAATTTCATGGCTATTATGATAGCGATTTTGTATGGGATTGTTATTCTATAACTCGATGGTCCCTTCAATAACGAGTTGTTGCGAGTTAACTGTTGATAAATTCTTTAGAAAACGTCTTTTGTAATTTTTCAAGATTCTAAACATTGAACAAACTTTTTCTGAACTACACACTTAAAAATAACTATTTTTACACGAGACGTAATCCATATTTGACGTAAAGTATGGAACGTAAACAAACACGTCATGTAAAATTAAGTGTTCCCAAACCGAAACATACGCAACTCAACGAAAAGTACGATTGATTGAATTTATTTTCTCGTTTCTTTCAACTGATTCTTATGTCATTTGGTCCGCTTGCATGTGTCGGTCTCAGGGCACGGAAATTTACATGACTTTTTGGTAGTGTGTATGTATGAACTCAATGGACGTAGATTTGCAATATGACAATCATAAAAAAAGTTATACAGATTTTTGTCAGCCAGATACAGATTAAAAAGATTTTTTGTAATGAAAATACAGATTGAAATTGGAAACAAAATGTGGCAACACTGCTCGTGAGAGCGAATTTTCTCACTGAAATTTAAAAGTTTTGGCGCTCTGAGGACTGGTAGTAAAGCGGGTAAAGCTGTATGGAGAAAAATCATTTTTATTTTATTGTAGCTTGTTTAACAATAAATCCCGGGGAAAACTGAGCGACAAAGTACCCGACTAATTTGTTTAGGTTGTAGTTTACTTTTTTTTAACCTGAATATGAACCTATAGCGCCATCTCTGTTACACAATATATCAAATGCAAAAATGGAATAGGTTTAGAAAGCTCTCAATTAACAACTGTGGACGTGCTAAAAAAACACTAAGTTTAGAACCGGTGTAAAATCCTAGTAGAAACTGTTGAGTTATTAATTAAATTCCAAGCAATAAAATTTCAAATAAACATATATTTTTATAATATGTCTTAAGAACAAGTTGAAACATTACTTCTAGTTGACGTTATGCGAGGAATTAAAATATTGCTTTAATTTGGTTTTTTTTTTCATTGTAAATTCAATGTTATCGCAGTGCTTATTATATGTATCCATCATTTGGTTCAAGGGTCCAAATTTGGCATAATTTGTACGATGACGATTTGTAGCAAATATATTTCTATTTCGTAAATGCCTAGATGGTGTATATAAATTTAAGGATGACAATAGTTCTATTGAATCAATTCGATGTGACACGATATCGTTTACGAAAGAAATCATAGCAAATTCACGACGCTCTTTTAATGTTTGGATATTTAAGAGCATACACCGAGCTGTGAAAGATGGCAGAGGAAATACAGTCCAACCTAACTTGCGGAGTGCATACAATAGAAACTGCTTTTGAACGGACTATTCTTTCTTCGTGTGTGATTCAAAAAGGAGACCAAACTATGCTGCAATATTCTAATATCGACCTTACATGAGCAATGTACAATGTTTTTATCGTATACGGATCGTGGAACCAAGTATGGAATATCTGAATTTCATCTTTGAATCTGATGATGTCTTTGGCATCTTTTATTTCCAAAAAAGTTTAACGCTACCCATCAAATCCTGTGCAACACTTGTGCTATCTTTCTTCCACAACTTTCATCCAATCTTTCTTCAAATCCATGTCGTTTTTGAGGACGTTCCTTGTTTTCCGGAGCGTGCCCTTCATAATCGCCCAGAGTGTTTATATTAGTCGAAGTTCTGGCGAGTTTGGCGGATTTGCCTCCTTCGGCACAAAAACAACATCGTTGGCTTCGTACCACTCCATCACCGGTTTCGCGTAATGGTCAAAACAGAGTGTCATCTTCGTGGGAACGGAGGACGGACAGCAGGCGCTTCTGGAGGCATTTTTCTTTATATATTTGGCCGTTGATGGTACCGGTCGTTATGTACGGCATACTGAATTTGCCGCACTCACAGATCGCCTGCCACATTAAGTACTTCTTGGCAAGTTGGTCAGCCTTCTTCTTCCGGAACTTCTCCGGAACATCCAAGCGGGACTTGCCGACGAAAAACTCCAAACCGGGGATCTGCTTGGCATTCGCTTAAATGTACGTCTCGTCGTCCATTACTATGCATTTCGGCTGCACTAACCACTCGCGGTACAGCTTCCTGGCGTGGGATTTGGCCACCGTATTCTGTGTATTGGTTCGGTTAGGCACCTTCCTTACCTTGAAGTCATGAAGTCCGGCCCACTTCATTGTCTGCTGGACGAACCAGACGGGAGAATTGACCTTCTTGGCCATATCCCGAATCGAAAGGTTCGGATTGCGCTTGAAGGTCGGCTTCGCTTTTCCCCCACTGTCAGCTCATCACCGATGGATAGTCTAGGTCTTCTTCAACGATTTTACCACACGGGACGTCGATTCCAAACTGTTTCGCGATCCACCTGTGGCCTGGATTTTCCACGACCACTCCCATAATTTTTTGTCGAAGCACTTCTTGCTTGAAAGCCATCTCGATAAACACTTGACAGATTGTGACGAGATTTTGCACATGTAAACATTACACTCTAAACTAGTTTAACGCAAAATTTCATCAATTTTTACCCATGCAATAAAAAGTTGCACACAAAAGAAAGTGTTGCATTTTTTCGAGTACAATCTTTAACATCTGCTCAAATATGACGAAAACCGACAAAAAAAATTCTCAGCCACTAGTATGATCCTCGGTATAATCATAGAATTAAAATCCGTAAAATTTTCCCCACTTAGTGAGTAATCCTAGTTTCTAAGATTTTGAATAAAATCCTTCTCAATTTTGAGTTTCTGGTGATTGGCGACTTCTGCTAGTATTGATGAGTTATTTGCCGTTGAATGTAATAAAAATTTATTGTTTTTCCAGGCAAAATGCCCAAACATTGAATTTTCACGAACGGATTTTGACAGGTTTGGATCTGTTTAATACGTCCGGATAATTTAATACGCTAGTCAATAATGTCTTCCCAATGTCCCAAAATGTCTTGTTGATTTTCTACGCAAGTAATCAAACTTTTGCAGAGAGATCCAGTTCTTGAAACTGCCGAAAACATCAGCAGCGCTCCATAAAATATTTAAGCATCATCCATTAGACTGGCCCACATTTATATGGGGGAATTTTTTCATCATTTTTTTTAACAGGCCAACCCCTTAATTTGTGCCATTAGGTGAGAAACCACTCTTTGACAATTTCAGCACTTTTGGATGTAACAAGAGCTGGCACTTTTGATTTAAGATGTAAATGGGGATA